AATTTGCTTACTGCTCCAGTAAGAAATTTAAATTAGTTCTTGAAACTATGTAGTTAACATGATTAATTAAAATCTAGAGCTATGGTGCCCTGTCTGAAACCAGGAACTCCCTCTGCCCCACAATAGCTGAAAAAAAAAAAAATTTTCCTTCAGCTCTTCCTATATGCTAATACTGTCTTCTCACCTAGCATGCTTATAGGTCCCTCACATTTATTATTTATCTCATACTTAGAATTGGCTAACAGAAAGTAGCATACAGATATCAAATGAAAGAATGCATGCTTTACACTTAAAGCCTTTTAATTTGCCATGCTAGTACTAAAATAGCTAGAATTGCAGTTACGTTCTGTTAACTTGGAAACAGGATCTTGTGCTACATCAGATTTTGTTCGGTTTTTGTCAATAGGTTTCTGATTTGATTTTCATAAAAATTTTGAGTATTACTTGCTCTTAATTTCTTCTGAAACTGTGCAAACCAAATTACATAGTTAGCCACTGTCACTTAAGTTGAAAGGAATTATATGAAAACAAATTTGTTACTATATGGCTGAGTTTAGCGTAGATCTTCCTATACTTCTTGGTTTTTAAAAACAGACGTGAAAATTAAAGCAATGCAAGAGGTAGTCTGTAGTTCAGATAAAAGAGGTATAGAAATATTGATTTAAGCAGAGAGTTATATTTCTGAAATAACTTTATTTTTCTCATTGTAGTCTGTGTAATAATGGGCTTGCATTATTAAGGATGAAAATGATTGATTTAGTTATTATAACTCAAGAGAAAACTAAAAAATCAGGTGAACGTAGTGTTGTGTTCATTTGCACTGCAATTAAGTCTCCAAATATTCGTTTGATAAATTATACAGTGGAAGTGAATGAATGGCCCCAGGTTAGGTTAGGCCCAATAAAAATTGTTTCCTGAGATTTTTAAACATAAACAAGAGAAAGCATATTTCAGTCTTTCTCTGGTGATAAGTCTGTGATGTGGAATACCAGATCTTACGGTTGCTGCAAAGAGTCAGATAGATGTGGAGACCCTCTGTGGATTGTCTCTTGTACCTAGCTAACTGTCTTCCACCCTCACTACTGATTGTCTTGTGGTTTTATTACATATACCAACATATCTCCCCTATATATATTCTAGAGTGATATGGATTTCTTTTGCTTCTAAGAAAAGGGTTCTAATAAAACATCCATTAATGTATATTTTAGTGGACCATGTAAACAGAAATATATATTATTCATATATATTATTCTTACAGCACATGTTAGTTCTAAATTAAGATCCTGGATATCCCTGGTATATGGTCTCACTAATAAGAAACAAGTAACAGGAACTATGAGTTGTGAGAGGAAAATAAATAATTTTTTGCATATAATAAAATTTTGAGAGAGCATATTTTTATATTCTTTTCTTTCCTTAGTACTTTTTTTCTTCATAACTAGATGTTTCCAATCCCTTTCACACCAAGGCAAGCACAAGCACTCTAGTTACGATGATCTAAAGACTGCTTTTTTTTATAAAAGTGCAAAATATTTCAAAATAATCTATTCTTCTTATAGAAGAGCAGAATAGACCAGAGTTTAAAAGTAAAATTAAGAAAGAAGAAGGAAAAGGTAGAAAACAAGTGATGAGAGAAGGTAGGTAGCAGACATATTTCCTGAAAACCATTTTTCTTCTGAATTCCTGCAGTGAGATTCAGTCTTATGTTGCTCATTTGAGGTTTTCTTTGCTATTTTTCCCAGGTCTGGCCAGTTTGTATGTGTACATATTTGCCTAAGTACATCATGGTATATCCAGTGGAGTTAGTGAGAAGGGCAAAATATGATAAAAAACTGAGCTAGCACTGTACCAATGCAAAAGCCACAGAAATTGCTCTGCAGTTATTTTAAGTGAACAGTGCTCTACAAAGTTTTCCAGTGCCTGTTAACTTTCACATTCTCTTAAGATATCAGGCTTGGGGGAAGCAGAGGTTTGTCTCGTGTTCCTAGGTTATGTTAAACCCTGTGGATTTGTTCTTCTCCAATCTCTTGCCAAGCTTATGGAACAACATTGAAAGCAAATTCTATCTTGAAGTATTTTGCTTTAATGTTTTCATAATTAGACTGCAAATTTTGAGATTAATGAGGCTTTAATTCCTCCTAATACGAGTGGTTGAGTAGTAGAAGCCATAATAGTGGTCACAGTTATTAATTGTAAATAATAGTAGTAGCTACCTTTTAATGAGCACTTATTATGTTCCAGGCACCATGCAAAGGGTTTTAGATACGTTTGAACTCGATGAGATAGGGTGTATTTTATTCTCCTCATTTCATACATGAGGAAACGAAGTCAGAGACATTGGTGGTTTTAGTCATGGAGTTGCAGTTACAATGTTAATAGTAAGTGTGGTAGCTAAACTTTATTTACTATTCTTTATGTGACACGAGCAATTCAAGTATTATCTTTTGTAACTTGAAAAAATACTATGAATTAGATGTGACCATTTTATCTCTTTCTATATGCCATAGATTATAAATTGCACTATTGATTACTTTTTTATTTAGGAGAATGGTAAAACACTACCTTGAATTTACTCATCAATTATATAACTCATCAATTACATATCAGAAATACTCAAATTTGAAATTAAGTGTGTATCTTTAAGCCAAAGGTAGCTACTGTTATTGTCACTTCACCAAGAGAGAAGCTGAGGCTTAATGAAGACAAAAAAATATGCCCAAATTCACAAGCACTAGTAGCAAACTGAGATGTAAATCCGAGTCTGTCTGGTATGGAATCAAGATAGATCTGAATAGGTCTTGAGTAATAAGAGAGAATATCTTTTGTTTACAGTAACTTTTTCTTATTTTTTTGAGGTGGAGTTTTGCTCATGTTACCCAGGCTGGAGTTCAATGGCGCGATCTCAGCTCACCGCAGCCTCTGCCTCCTGGGTTCAGGCAATTCTCCTGCCTCAGCCCCCCAAGTAGCTGGGACTACAGGCATGTGACACCATGCCCAGCTAATTTTTGTATTTTTGGTAGAAACAGGGTTTCACCTTGTTGACCAGGATGGTCTTCATCTCTTGACCTCATGATCCACCCGCCTCGGCCTTACATTAACTTTTTCTACTGCAAAGTGTCTACTATTTTTTTTTTAAGTCAGATGCTGTACCTTCACCATTCTAAATATCTGCGAACTTGTAAATTAAATGTATATCCAAAATAAAAGTGAAAAGTTGACTGCAGGCAGTGTTTGTCACCAATTACTTAGAATCTTTGAACACAAATTCTCTCAGTAGTAAGAATATTGTGTGGATAATTGACTCAACTTGCCACTTCCCCTTGCCTTGAAAAGTCAATAACTAGCTGGCTGTTTTGGTTCTTTGGCTAATTGGGCAATAATATTTCTAAGACGTGATACCTATATTGTGACAGGCTTATTTCGTTATAAATATTTAATGCTACCAACCAAGACAGTTTGAAAAGTTAAATAATAGTGTTTGGGTGTAGTTTCAGTCATGCCTTACCACTTTGTCATATGACCCAGTTCCCTAACATTTTCTCAGGCAGTTATTTCCTGTGCATTTCCTGAGGTTTCCACAACTAGCCATTTTTTAAGAGAATGGTAGTTAAAATAATAGAGCTTTTAAGGAATCTGAAGTTTAGTGATTAGCATTGTGGCCAATGGGTATATTTCCTGATATCTGTGAGAATATAGGAGGTAGAATTCCTTTCTAATTATTGTAATAACAAACATCCTTAAAATTTTTTTCTCTGGAAGATTGATAAGAGAAAAATTCAGCAGACCATAGTGCCGCAGGAACAACTGGCTGCCATTGTGCTTAAAGAGAAATAAAACAGGAAACAAACCAAGAAAACCAATCCTGACTCCCTCATACAAACTGAGAGACGGTCAGGAGAAACATGTTTAGATAGGAGTGATGCAATCAAAGGTTTACCATATCATAACAAAGAGGCCTGCATATGATCAAACTTTTGAACATTCTCTTACAAAAGATGCTTGGAACCAGTATTATTTATTTTCCTGTAGATCTTGAATGAAAAAGTATAGATCTGCTGAAGAGGGCTGGTTTATAATGAAGAACAGTTCTAAGCACACAAAAGATAAAACAGCACTCCATTTCAAACCAACAGAGTTTAAGGTTTATGCTTGAAAGGGCAATGAGATTTTATCAAAGTGAACACAGAAACATTTATAAGGTTTTATATCTTCGGGGATGCTTAGGATGGCAATCTCTCCTTCTTCAGGGATTTCACCCTTCTTTAACTATAAAAAGAAGCCATCTTTCTTAATAAAAATTACAGGCATACCTCATTTTATGGCATCTCACTTTTATTGTGCTTCACAGATTTTTTTTTCTTTTTTTACAAATTGAAGGTTTGTGTGGTAACCCTTCATCTAGCAAGCCCATTGGTGCCGTTTATCTAAGAGCATGTGCTTACCTTGTGTCTCTATGTTACATTTTGATAATTCTTACAATATTTAAACATTTTCACTTTTATTATATCTGTTATGATGATCTATGATCAGTGATCTTTAATATTCCTATTGTAATTATTTTAGGGTACCACAGACTGCATCCACGTAGGATGGTGTACTTAATCAGTAAATACTGTGTGTTCTAACTGCCCCACCACACAGCTATTCCCTCATCTTTCTCCTATTCCTTGGACTCTCAATTCCCGCAGACACAACAATGTTAAAATTAGACCAGTTAGAACCCTATAATGGCCTCTGAGTGATGAAGTGAAAGAAAGAGTTTCATGTTTCTTACTTTAAATAAAAAGCTAGATATAATTAGGCTTAGTGAGTGTGTTAGTCTGTTCTCATGTTGCTAGTAAGAATATACCTGAGACTGGGTAATTTATAAAGAAAAGAGATTTAATGGACTCACCATTCCACGTGGTTGGGGAGGCCTCACAATGATGGTGAAAGATGAAGGAGGAGCAAAGAGATATCTTACATGGTGTCAGGCAAGAGAGAGCTTATGCAGGGCAACGTCCCTTTATAAAACCATCAGATCTCATGAGACTTATTCACTATCAGAAGAACAGCACTGGAAAGACCTGTCCCCATGATTCAGTTACCTCCCCCTGGGTCCCTCCTGCCATACATGAGAATTATGGAAGCTACAATTCAAGATGAGATTTGGGTGGGGACATAGACAAACCGTGTCATTCTGCCCATAGCCCCTCCAAAATATCATGTCCTCACATTTTCCAAACCCATCATGCCTTCACAACAGTCCCCCAAGTCTTAACTCATTTCAGCATTAACTCAAAAGTCCACAGTCCAAAGTCTCATCTGAGACAAGCTAAGTTTCTTCTGCCTATAAGCTAGTAAAAACCAAAAGCAAGTCAGTCACTTCCTAGATACAATGAGGATACAGGCAATGGGTAAATACAGTCATTCCAACTGAGATAAATTGGCCAAAATGAAGGGGCTAAAGACCCCATGCAAGTCTAAATCCAGCAGGGCAGTCAAATCTTAAAGCTCCAAAATGATCTCCTTCAACTCCATGTCTCATATCCAGGTCATGCTGATGCAAGAGATGGGTTTCCATGGTCTTGGGCAGCTCTGTTGCTGTGGCTTTGCAGGGTACAGCCTCCCTCCTGGCTGCCTTCACCAGCTGGCATTGAGTGTCTGTGGTTTTTACAGGCACATGGTGCAAGCTGTCAGTGGATCTACCATTCTGGGGTCTGGTGGATTGTGGACCTCTTCTCACAGCTCTACTAGGCAGTGCCCTAGTGGGGATTCTGTGTGGAGGCTTCAATCCCCACATTTTCCTTCCACATTGCCCTATCAGAGGATCTCCATGAGGGCCCTGCCCCTGCAGCAAACTTCTGTTTCGATACCCAGGTGATTTTATATTTCCCCTGAAATCTAGGTGGAGGATCCCAAATCTCAATTCTTGACTTCTGTGAACCCAAAGGCTCAACACCACATAGAAGCTGCCAAGACTTGGGGCTTGCACCCTCTGAAGCCACAGCCTGAGCTGTATCTTGGCCACTTTTTGCCACGTGTAGAGCAGGTGGGAGGCAGGGAACCAAGTCCTTAGGCTGCACACAGAAGGGGAGTCTTGGGCCTAGCCCATGAAACCATTTTTTCCTCCTAGGTTTCTGGGCCTGTGATGGGAGGGGCTTCCATGAAGGTCTCTGATGAACTCCGGAGATATTTTCCCTGTCATCTTGGCAATTAACATTTGGATCCTCATTACTTATGCAAATTTTTGCAGCCAGCTTGAATATCTCCTCAGAAAATTGTTTTTTCCTTTTCTATTGCATCATCAGGCTGCAAATTTTTCAAACTTTTATTATCTGTTTCCCTTTTAAAACTGAATGCTTTTAAAAGCATCCAAGTCAACTCTTGAATGCTTTGTTGCTTAGAAATTTCTTCCACAAATATTCTTAATCATCTCTCTCAGGTTCAAAGTTCCAAAAATCTCTAGGGTAGGTTAAAAATGCCATCAGTCTCTTTGCTAAAGCATAACAAGTTACCTTTGCTCCAGTTCCCAACAAGCTTTTTATCTCCATCTGAGACCACCTCAACCTGGATTTCATTGTCCATATCATTATTAGAATTTTGGTCAAAGCCATTCAACAAGTCTCGAGGAATTTCCAAACTTTCCTACTTTTTCCTGTCTTTTTCTGTTCCAACCTCAGCCTGTTGCCCAGTTCCAAAATTGCTTCCACATTTTTTGGTATCTTTACAGCAGCACACCACTCTACTGGTACTAATTTACTGTATTAGTCCATTTTCATGCTCCTAATAAAGACATACTCAAGATTGGGTAATTTAAAAAAAAAAAAAAAAAGAGGTCTAATGGACTCACAGTTCCTTGTGGCTAGGGAGGCCTTACAATCATGGTGGAAGATAAAAGGCACATCTTACATGGAGGCAGACCAGAGGGCTTGTGTAGGGGAACTCCCCTTTATAAAACCATCAAATCTTGTGAGCTTTATTCACTATTGCTAGCACAGCATGGGAAAGACCTGCCTCCATGATTCAGTTGTCTCCCATTAGTTCCCTCCCACAATGTGTGGCAATTATAATTTAAGATGAAATGTAGGTGGGAACACAGACGAACTATACCAGTGAGGAAAGGATGTTGAAACCTGAGATAGATCAGAAACTAGGCTTCTTGTACCAAACTGTTAAACAAGTTGTGAATACAAAGGAAAACTTCTCGCAGGAAATTAAAAGTACCACTCCACTGAACACAAGAATAATGAGAAAGTAAAACAGCCTTATTGCTGATATGCAGAAAGTCTCAGTGTTCTGGATAAAAGATCAAATCACACACAACATTCTCTCAAACCAAAGCCAAATTCAGAGCAAGGCCCCAACTCACTTAAATTCTATGAGAGCTGAGAGAGGGTGAGGAAACCACAGAAGAAAAATGTCAAGTGAGTAGAGGTGGATCCAAGAGGCTTAAGGAGAAAAGCCATCTCTGTAACATAAAAGTACAAAGTGAATCTGCAAGTGCTGAGGTAGAAGCTGCAGCCAGTTATGCAGAAAATCTATCTAAGATAACTGACAAAGGTGGCTAAATGAAACAACAGATTTTCAATGTAGATGAAACACCTCTATTGGAAGATGTTATCTAGGACCTTCATAGCCAGGGAGAATAAATCAATGCCTGACTTCAGAGAGTCAAAGAACAAGCTGACTCTCTTGTTAGGGTCTAATACAGCTGGTGAGTTTAAGTTGAAGCTGATGATAATTTACCATTCTGAAAATTCTAGGGCCTTTAAAAATTTGCTAAATTGACTTTATTTGTGCTCTAGAAATGGAACAACAAAGCCTGGATGATGGCACATCTGTTTACTGAATATTTTAAGCCCACTGATGTGACCTACTGCTGAAAAAAAAAAGATTATTTTCAAACTATTACTGCTCACTGACAATGCACTTGGTCACCAAAGAGCTCTGATGGAGATGTACAAGATCAATGTTGTTTTCTTTAGAGCTAACACAATATTCATTCTGCAACCCATAGATCAAGGAATAATTTTAATTTTCAAGTCATTTAAGAAAACTTTCATAAGGTTATAGCTGCTGTAGATAATGATTTCTCTGATGAATATGGACAAAGTAAGTTGAAAACCTTCTGGAAAAGATTCCCTATTCTAGATGGCATTAAGAACATTCATGATTATTGGGAAGAGATCAAAATATAAACACTATAAAAGGAGTTAGGAATAAGTTGATTCCAACTCTCATGGATAACTCCGAGGGGTTCAAGACTTCATTGGAGGAAGTAACCATAAATATGGCAGAGAGTGTAAGAGAACTAGAATCAGAAGTGAAACTTGATGATGTGACTGAATTGCTGCAACCTCATGTTAAAATGAAAGATGAGGAGGAGGCAGTTCTTACAGATGAGCAAAGAAAGTAGATTAAGACAAAATCTACTCCTGGTGAAGTTGCTATGAACTTTGTTAAAATGACAACAAAGGATTTAGAATATTACATAAACTTAGTTGATAAAGCAGTGGCATGTCTTGAGAGTATTGATTTTAATTTTGAAGTAAGTTCTACTGTTGGTAAAATACTCCTGGATAGCATCGCATACTACAGAGAAATCTTTGGGAAAGAAAGAGTCTATCAATGCAATATGTTTCATTGTTTTCTTGTTTAAGAAATTGCCACAGCTAACATAACCTTCAGCAACCATCACCCTGATTAATCAATAGCCATCAATATTGAGACAAGACTCTACACCAGCAAAAAAGTGTCAAGACCCTTTGAAGGCTCAGATGGCTGCTAACCTTTTTTTTTTTTTTTTAAGCAGTAAAGTGTTTTTAAACTAAGGCATGTACATTTTTAATACATAATAATATTGCACACTTAATACACTATAGTATAATATAAATGTAGCTTTTGGGGATTGTAATTAATTTTTTTATTTTAAGTTTTGTGATTACATAGTGTGTATATATGTGTGTGTGTGTGTGTGTGTGTGTGTGTGTGTGTGTGTGTGTATCACATTGTGTGGGTGAACTAGACTTCATTCATTCTTTCTAATTGTATTTTGTGTCCATCAACTATCTCCACTTTCCCCAAACCACCCCACTATGCTTCTCAGCCTCTGACAACAATCCTTCCACTCTCTACCTCCATGAGTTTAATTGTTTTTGTTTTTAGCTCCCACAAATAAGTGAAAACACAGAAAGTTTGTCTTTCTATGCCTGCCTGGCTTCTTTCACTTAACATGATGACCTCCAGTTTCATTCTGATTATTGCAAATGACAGGTTTTCATTCTTTTTATGGGTGTAAAGTACTCTATTGTGTACATGTACCATGTTTTCTTTATCCATTTGTCTGTTGATGGACACTTACATTACTTCCAGATCTTGGCTATTGTGAGCACTGATGCAATAAACATGGGAGTGCAGACATCTCTTCAATATACTGATATCCATTATTTTGGGTATATTTAGCTGGAGTAAGATAATATTTCACTGTAATTTTGATTTGGTTTTCTCTGATGATCAATGATGTCGAGCACCTTTCCATATACCTATTTTCTATTTGTATGTCTTTTCAGTTTTTTGAGAAATCTCCAAATTTTCCTCCATAATGGTACTAATTTACATTCCCAACAGCATACAAGGGTTCCCTTTTCTCCATGTCCTTGTCGGCATTTGTTATTGTCTGTATTTTGGATAAAAGTCCATTTAACTGGGGTGAGATGATATCTTATTGTAGTTTTGGTTTGCATTTCTCTGATGATCAGTGATGTTGAGCACCTTTTCATATACCTGTTTGCTATTTGCATATGTCTATTCTTTAGAGAAATATCTATTTAGATCTTTTGCCCATTTTTAAATTGGATTATCAGATTTTTTCCCATAGAGTTGTTTGAGCTCCTTATGTATTATTATTATTATTATTCCATTGTCAGATGGATATTCTGCAAACATTTTCTTCCATTTACTGGGTTGGCGTTTCACTTAGTTGTTTGTTTACTTTGCTGTGCAGAAGCTTTTAAACTTGATGTTACCCCAGTTGTTTATTTTTGCTTAGGTTGCCTGTGCTTGTTGGGTATTACTCAAGAAATCTTTGCCCAGTCCAATGTCTTGGAGAGTTTCCCCAGTGTTTTATTTCAGTAATTTCACAATTTGAGGTCTTAGATTTAAGTCTTTTATCCATTTTTTTTTTGTATATGGCAAAAGATAGGGATCTAGTTTCATTCTTCTGCATATGGATATCCAGTTTTCCCAGCATCATTTATTAAAGAGATCATCCTTTATCCAAAGTATGTTCTTGGCGTTTTTGTCAAAATTGAATTTACTGCAGATGTATAGATTTGTTTCTGGGTTCTCTATTCTGTTCTACTCTTCTATGTGTCTGTTTTTATACCAGTACTGTGCTGTTCTGGTTACTATACCTCTGCAGTATAATTTGTGGTCAGGTAATGTGATTCCTCTAGTTTTGTTCTACATAGCTTTGGTTATTCTAGGTCTTTTGTGGTTTTATATAAGTTTTCAGTTTTTAAAAAATAATTCTGTGAAGAATGTCATAGTATTTTGATAGGGATTGCATTGAATCCATAGATTGCTTTGTGTAGTATGGACATTTAAACAATATTGATTCTTCCAATCCATTAACATGGAGTATATCTCTCCATGTTGTGTGTGTGTTCTCTTTAATTTCTTGCACCAATGTTTTACAGTTCTTGTTGTAGAGATATTTCACTTCTTTGGTAAATTTCTAGGTATTTTATTTTTAGCTATTATAAATGGGATTACATTCTAGATTCATTTTGCAGGTTGTTTGTTTGGCTTGTAGAAATGCTACTGATTTTTGTATGTTAATTTTGTATCCTGGAACTTTACAGAATTTGTTTGCCAGTTCTAATGTCTTTTTGTGTGTGTGTGTGTGTAGTTTTCAGATTTTTCCAAACATAAGATTACATAACCTATAAACAAGGATAATTTGCCTTCCTCTGTTCCAATTTGCATGTCCTTTATTTCTTGTCTGATTGCTCTACCTAGGACTTCCAGTACTATATTGAATAACAGTGGTAGAAGTCAGCATCCTTGTTGTGTTCCAGATATTAGAGAAAAAGCTTTAAGCTTTTCCCCATTCATTATGATATTAGCTATGGGTCTGACACGTATGGCTTTTATTATGTTGAAGTATGTTCTTTCTATACCAGTTTTTTAAGGGTTTTTATCATGAAGAGATGTTGAATTTTATCAAATGCTTTTTCAGCATCAGTTGAGATTATCATATAGTTTTCATCCTTCATTCTGTTGATACAATGTATCACATTGATTGATTCATGTATGTCTAACCATTCTTGAATTGCTGTGATAAATCCCACTTAGTCATGATGAATGATCTTTTAAATGTATTATTGAATTCAGTTTGCTGGTATTTTGCTGAAGATTTTTACATAAATAGTCATTGGTAATATCAGCTTGTAGTTTTCTTTTTGGATGTGTTTTTTTCTTGTTTTAGTATCAGGGTAATACTGGCCTCATAGAATGAGTTTGGAAGTGTTCCCTCCTTCTCTATTTTTTGAAATAGTTTGAACAGAATTAGTATTGCTTCTTTTTTAAACATTTGGCTTCAGCAATGAAGCCACCTGTCCTGGGCTTTTCTTTGCTGAGAGACTTTTTGTTATGGCTTCAATCTCATTACTTGTTATTAATCTGTGTAGGTCTTGGTTTTCTTCATGGTTCAATGTTGAGAGGTTGTATGCATGTAGGAATTTATTCATTTCTTCTAGGTTTTTCAGTTTATTGGCATGTTGTTGCTCGTGCTAGCCACTAATGTTGCTTTAAATTTCTGCAGTATCAGTTGTAATGTCTCCTTTTCATCTCTAATTTTATTTACTTGGGTATTCTATTTTTTTAGTCTGGCTAAAAATTTGTCAATTTGTTTATCTTTACAAAAAACCAACTTTTCGTTTTGTTGATCTTTTGTATTCTCTTCTTTGTTTCAATTCCATTAATTTCTGCTATAATCTTTATTGTTTCTTTTTTTTTCCTACTAATTTTGGGTTTGGTTTGTTCTTGCTTTTCTAGTTCTTTAAGAT